CTTTAAAGCAAGCAAACAATTCCTTGTATTGGTATCTCTCCCCCTCGACACCGTGTTGCCTTTCTGTAATAGTTTTCATTAATGTAATCAAGTTTTCTTTCATTCTCATTCTCATTCTCTTTTCTGTTCTCTCAATTGCTCTTGAAATCGGCTTTCCCGTACGGCACTGACTGTCTCGTCTAACGTATGGAGGGGATCACAGTTAGTGGATAGTAACCGCACGGACATCCGTTGCTTAGCCTTACATCACCCATCCAAGACATCTCAGGAAGGCGCCGCGTAATAGAAAGAGAGAAAGAGAGAGAAATAAAGAAGAATAAAGCCTAAAATAGGTAAGATTGGAGTGTAATATATTATTTATTATAGGCAAAATACATAGTTTACCCATCGACTTTGCAGCGAAATCCCTGTTACATACTTCTCATTCACGGAAAACCTTTTACACACTCAACCTTTCAAAAGTGTGTCTAAGATACACCACTTTGTGCTTGACTAATTTTTCAGATAAAGTGAAAGTAATGCCCTAATAGGGTCGTGACATGTGTCATTGACTTTAGAAAGGAAAAAATATATTAGAAATTATAATTAAAAGTCATCTTTTTCATCTTCCTATATTCTATCTTAAGCACCATTGTTGCTCACCATGGTTGTTTGTGAGAAAGTTTCCAATAACACCAAAATTCAACCACACTATCTAAACAACTAGCTGAAAATAATCGAGCAACAAATTGAATTCAACAACCCAATAATCAACAAGACCCAATTGAATTTTCAAGCTTTTTTCGATACCCCAACAATGGTGGATTATAGAATTTTCATCAAACCTGCAATACTATTGTTAAAACATTTAAATCTATCACAAATAAAAGGTTTTCACAATATTTTGGACAATAAACCAACAAAAACCGCTCAATTTTAGATTTAAAATTTTATGTTCTTTCAAAAATTCTATTTGGGGAAGAAGATGAGGGGAGGGTGGTACGAGGAAGAAGACCAGAGGGAGGGGGAGGGGTTCCTGTGGGAAGGGGAGATTAAAAAAATAGGATTTTTAAGGGCTTCATGCGTTTTTTTTTGTGTAAACACGCAAGTGTTATCTGGTCAAAAGTAGTGTGTCTTAGATACACTTTTGAAAGGTTGAGTGTGTAAAAGGTTTCCGTGAAGAAGAGTCGTGTAACAGGAATTTCGCTACAAGGTTGATGGGTAAACGATGTACTTTGTCTTTATTGTATATACGATAAATTGTATATGCTAATTAAGTGATAATCTCGATAAGATGGATAAATAAGTTTATAATATCTATAACTTGGTAATAAAAAAAGAGGAAACTAGATGAAATTAAAAGTCCCATTCTTTAGTTACTGACAAGGGAAAATGCTGGAAATCAACAACTTTTTGGAAGAAAAGAGCGTTGCAAAAGCGAATTACACTTATTTCGGGGCTCCCAGCTATTCAACTTGCTTTACATCAAAAGCTTTAAGGAAAAGAAAAATGGCTGTCCTGATCTCTAGCAACTGTGGGGACACTAAGCAACTGGAAAAATCAGTGAAAATAACTTTGCCAAATTTTAGAGAAGCTACTCGTCTATTTCGTCAATCCAGTCGTTTTTTCTCATTCCACACTCTTCCCGTTCCCCTCACGAACTTGTACAATTAATTTTGCCTACTCTTTACATAATGGATAATAATCTCGGAATCAGATGCGAGATTATTTTATCTCACATTTGGTTGAAATTTTAAATTCGAAATTAATAATCCTGAGATTAATTTATACCATATTGTGGTATTATTTCATCCCACATTAAGGATGAAATAATAATTTTAGGATTTATCCCAGGATAAAACACTACAATAACAAAAATATCCTTTTCCAAGATTCTTCCCCCAATACAAAAGTTTACTAAATACATATTTTATATTATACTTGTACCTTTCATTTTTGGTTCAACATACCAAATATTTCTCAATTAAAATACATTCATTAAATAATCTCAACACTATTTTATTCTTGTATTATAATCACATCATTATGATCTCAAAATAAATTGTTTCTCTATCAAACAACAATGATTGCGCTAACCACCGTCAAAACTCATCAAACTATACGCATAAAAAATCTTCACTATATCAATGTGGTATATAATTTAAATCCTTACCACAAGCAGCAAAAGTAATCCATTCTAAGAAGATAAACAACAATTGGGAAAAGAAATTAAAATAGGCGTTCCTACTAGATTTCCACAATTAATTAGTTGAAGAAAAACAATATGTTTGGTTCGGTTGTTGGTGTTGTGCAAATGGAGGGGTGTGGGGTTGGAACAAAGGCTTGGTCTAAGCGTTAGGTAAAGAATTAGTTGAGGGGTCCTTTGATAACCCAAAGGAAAGGTGAGTTGAATGGGGGACACACCCATATGAAGGAGGTGGAGATCCATTCTTTTTTCTATGCCATATAGAATTTTATTAGAACTCATTTGCTCGATTAATTCTAATTCGTGTTACGTAAGACCTATTATAAAGTATTTCTTCATTTTTAATATTTAAATCCGAGACCTCTCTAATTTAGGTGTGGAATGATCTCATCCATTCCAGCACACTACTAGATAGTAGATAGAGATCCCTTCCACAAAACTAAACTTTAACCATGGCCATGCTCTCTCACAATCAAGCTAAAGCTGCTTTATCTTATTATTGTTGTATTATATTTCTTTCTAAATATTGGGTCCCTTAAATCTTCTACTCCATCTAACTTTGTCATGCTAATGTGATCTTGTCTCTCTTTCTCTTCATATAATGTGTGTATCAGTGTATATGTCTATATCTGTATTATTTGACTACTGAGGATTATCTAATGTCAAACAATAAAGAAAACAAAGGGATAAGGGAACACATTTGAAAATAGGACTCCTATTTTATTAAGAAATGTTGAATATAATAAGTGGGATACAGTGATAGAAATGTTGCATTCTCAACCAAACGGATGTCATCCTCCACTCTCTTTAACTTCTTTTTGGAAACTAATGTAGTAAGGTTAACTGGGCTTAATTCGTTAATTTTAATTGTTTACCTTTGTTATACTGTTATTGTCTGTTTATGATTTTCTTTTTTTACTTTCTTAATTTGGAAGTTGTTAGCAACTTCCAATCACGTTATGTTTTTTTTTCCCATCATTTGTTCAATTCCGAGAATATGAACTTCGTGGCATATTTCTTGTTTTAGAAAAAATGCTCGTTAGAAAAAAGTGACTTATCAGATAAACAAAAGAATGCGTTAATAACCCGTTTTCAGTAGCAGAGCTATTAATTCTAGAAGGGAATCAAAAAAGTAAGAATGTCACACGTGACATATAAATGTGTGACATAAAACAATCTGTTTAATTACATCTGTCACCATATAGAAATCCTTTACGTTAAAAAAATTCAACAGTTTATGTATATGCGAAAATTTTTGTTTTTTATCTATTTGTACAGTATAATTTTCCGACATAAGGGTGAACCCCTTTGCATCCACCTAACTCTGCCTCTGCCCGTTTCTATTCTACTCGGAATTGGATATATATGGAAAATCTGTAAATATTACTAGTGTAATTTCTTTTGATATCACGTTTTTTGTAGCTAGCAAGGGAGGTACTAGCCTAAGACTTCTAATACTACTTTTTAGGTGTGACCACATCTTATCTTCTTTTTATTTCAAATGATTGTGGGTATTGAATGAAAGTTGAAATTCAGTTGAGAATTAAAGAGAACGCCAGATTTCCTCTTTTGAAGTCTTGTTATTTGTGTGGACAAAAGAAGAGAAACGAGGATTTGCAGAATTTGTTTGTAGCTGCCCCTTTATTTGGCTCTGTGTTGCCTTAACTTACTGTCAGGGAATCATTTGCAGCAAATGTTATCTGGGAGAAACGGGTGGCTGAGGGTGGAAACATTCAGTGAATGAATTTTACTACTATATATCTTTTGACAATGACAATGCAATTTTTTTTACGCTATACATGCAATTTAAACTGTTAAAATAAGTTCGGATTGCCGAGTGGTCCGAGGCGCGTTCTGGTCCTCGTGAGAGGGCGTGGGTTCAAATTCCACTTTTGACAAATTTAACTAACCTTTTAATTTGACCCCACTTGTAAGAATACAATACGGTGAATGTTTCTGTAATGCAATTTAGTTTAAAAGTTATCTGTTAGTATTGCCTTTAAATTGATCTTAACAAAAAAATTATACTATCAGATGCTATATAGAAGGTAATGGTGGCAAAATGGTTAAAAAAAAATAGTTAACCACCCATATTATCCATTAAAAAATGGGTTGGATAATGAACCTTTTAAAAACGGGTCAAATATGGATAAGAATTATATTATCCATTTAGAAAATGGATAACCAATGAGTTTAACTTTTACATTTGTAAAGCCTCAAATTGGGAGTTCCTCAAGTTTGGGAGACTAGGAATTCTTCCAAAAGTAATCATATTCAAGAAGTCATGGATAATATGGTTACCCATATTATCCGCCGGTTAACCCATTTTTTATCCGTATTAAATATGGGTCGGGTCGGATAAATTATCCGTTTTTCATTACTCGTTTTCGACCCGAACCATATCTGACCCGACCCACCCGTTTGCAACTCCTAATAGAAGGTAAGGTCTAATGAATTCCTAGGTGATAATGATAAGGAGAGAGTTTCTTCTTTTGGCTTTTACCTTATCATCAAACCACAATGCTACTGTTTTGGATTAGATCATATGATTTCTTAATTCCTTAGTCCCATTTCTTTTTTAATTTATCTCTTTGAACTCTCCATCTCTCTCTCACTCACACGACATATCATGTGTGATTTTAGAGCCATTTCAATTTATGTTTGTTTTCTGATGCTGACAACCTCCACCACCAATAATGCCTAGTGTTTTCTATCCACAGACAAAAGTAGTTCCATTCCTGAATTATGCTGGTGAAATATATCCCCTAACCCTGATCATTAGTTCGTATTATTAAGTAAACTGTCGACATAATAGCTTTCTTTCTATGCAATAATAGCTTTTTTTCCATGCAATAACCAGATGATGAAAACCGCCCATGAGACAGGACATGGCCCGTGAGCTTGAACTGTAACTGACGACTGACGAAGCGTGCTTTGGCAGATCGTAATAGATTATTGCCTACAGTGACCAACTTGGAGAAAACTAACCCTGTATTTCAATTGACTTCAACACTATAGCTTCTTATTCTTGAGAGAGTGATGAAGGTATTTAAAATCTTAAACATGTTTAAGTCCTGTGGCATAAACGCCATAATATCTGTTGTTGCAATGGCTTTTGATTCCTTTGGGATGAAATACTACTACTACTACTACTGCTGTAGGTGGGGACCAACATTTCACATTCAACCCCACCACTGTTTCTTCTTATCTCCACATTCTTGATTGAGCATTGATTTGATATGGCTGTTTCTCCTTCCCGGCCCCTCAGGCCCTCATCTTCCTTCTCTTACCACTTCCCCTTTTCCACTAGTAGCTAGCCATCCTTTTTTCATCTCTATAAATCCCTCCTCTCCATCTTTGTTGAGGTTCACAAACCAACCAAACAAGACTTTGTACAAAATTTAGGGGATTTTGTCTAAACATGTTAAGCTGCGGGGAAATGAGCGTTCTTGAGAGACAGAGAGCAGTGTTGGAACGTCTTTATAGCCAATCCAAACAGCAGCTTTCTTCTCTGCCTCTGCAAAATTTTGCTCAGTTTAACAATTTGATAACTGGGCAAATGATGGGCAGCCTTGACGTGCCAATTGAACGAATGAACGAGAATTTTACTAACTTCGATATGTTTGGGAGAGAACATGATAAGGGCATAACAGGCTTTGGTTTTACCAATAATTGGCAAGAAACGGCTCGTCCCTCTTTCTCTACAGTCTCAAATTCATCCATTACAACAGTGTCTCCGCCACCAGAGAAAGAAATAGATACCATTGTAGCTCCGAGAAGAAATGCGGTGTCAACAAAGAAGAGAAAAACAGAGGTTTGTAATACTAGTACATCTACTTTAGTTTATCAATTCATCGATCAACTATGCCTTAATCCTAGAAGCCTTTGTTTTTATGTTATTCAGCAATTTCCCGAGGAAGAGGATTGTAAAATCAAGAGACCTCAGTCAGAGATTAGTGAGAAAAGCCAAAGAGCTGCTTCAGGAAATAATTCCAAGGAGAATTCTAAGACATCAGAGGTTCAAAAACCTGATTATATTCATGTCAGGGCACGTCGTGGTCAAGCCACTGATAGCCACAGCTTAGCAGAAAGAGTAAGTGCTAATTCCTTTCTTTTTCTTTAATCAAGTACATAAATCTTATGCTAATTTGTGACACAAAGAGACTCGAACTTAGGACCTCATGGTAACCGTCTCATTTAAAGTTTAAACGGATTGTCAGTAGCAATTGGCTTAAATTTTCTTAATGAATTTTTGCAGGCTAGAAGGGAGAAAATCAGTAAGAAGATGAAATATTTACAAGATATAGTCCCAGGTTGCAACAAAGTGACAGGCAAGGCCGGAATGCTAGATGAAATCATCAATTACGTTCAATCTCTACAGAAACAAGTGGAGTTCCTATCAATGAAACTTGCTGTTCTAAATCCTAGGCTTGATTTGAACACAGATAACTTTTTTACCAAGGATTTCCCCTCTTACATGTCCAATTTTCCAACAGTAGATATTCCCACACTTTCAGAATATAGCTTAATCCAACACCAACAAATGTTACCCCAAAGAAGGGAAAACTGTTTAATGTCATTTCCAGAAGCGGCATCTTCCCCTATTGCGGTAATTTCTTCATTCCTTTGTTCTGATTTCAACTTCTTGCTTAAAAAAACCATCTATGATATATGAAGTTTTCTTGTACCTAAAGTGGATATGTTACTGATATATTGCAGGTAGTACAGCAGCAGCCAAATTTTGAAACTGATTTGCAGAGCCTTTTTCAGTGTCAGTTTTAACTAGTTAAGGATGATTGAACTATAAAGATTGGGTGCAATTCAATTAATTATGGTGCCTTCGCTTTTCCTACTTATCTGGGATTGTTCTTTGAGAAGCACAGAACTCATTCCACTAGCTCCTGTACACAAAATTCACAATCTTCAGATGGAGTTCAAGATTTTTGAAGTTAGCAACTACATTAGAGAGCAACCCCCCACCCCCACAAATCCCACCCTTTATGAAAATTTATTACATCTTACACATAAGGGATCTTGTAATCTATTCATGTATAGCCAAAGTTGCAGGATTTGACTGATATGTAGTAATACAAAATTGATCTTGTATTCTTTCTTATTCCTTCTCTCATCTAATCTTTGATCAATGTAAGAACGCCAAATCATTGAGCGACCCAACTTTTGTGGTTGAGACAGACAACCCTTTGAATTATAAGGTAAACAGCAAATATATTTGTCAATAATGAAACAATTAGCAAAAACTACCTCAAGAAGCATCGTTGTGAAGTGATAAGTAGGGCAAGGTACTACAGCAGTTTTTAAGATGTGTTGGGGCAAGTCTAATAACCGGTCCTAACTCTAATAGTATTCTTTGAGTAGAGTCGGCATAACCACTGCTATTTCGTCTGCAACTCTTATCGTTGATGGAATAAGTATTTCTTACTTTTGCTGTTCCAAGTATTGGAAAATTGGTTATGAAGAATAAAAGTTAGCTTTAAGGCGTGTTACGGACACTATCCTTAAACATATTTTCGCCCACACAATAATAAATAAAATAACATATCTTCTGGTTATTAAACTGAGAACAAAACTGACAGAAAATTCAAGAAAGAAACCCAGCATATAAGAGGAAGAAGATGATTCAGCTCTCCAAAGATCATATTTAAATAGGTATTGCTCCAACGGCTAGTTTGACTTTATTAATTATAAAATAATTTACTAAATAATAAGTAGACATATAAATAATATTTCAAAAAAGAAAAAAAATTCCAATTCAAAATGATGACATTCCCTTTTGAGACAACACTAATTTTTCCAACACAAGAGTCTTCGCTAGTTAAACCTGTCCAGTATATTTCCTGTTCGGCTCGTCATCTTCATCAGTTCTTTGATCGAGATATTATTACCTAGATTTCTAAACTTGGAACTCTAGAAAAGGGTGTGATATGATGGTTGAGATACTTTACTCTTAACGGATGCCGAAAATTTTCAATAAAAAGCAGCATTTCATCTTGTTAGTGGAGGGGAGCTTTGGTGTTATTATGTGATTACGAAATCACGAGTTCAAGCCGTGAAAACAACTGCATATAATAGACCCTTGTAGCCTGGCCCTTTCCCGTACCCCGCGTATAGCAGAAACTTAGTGTACCGAAATATCCTTTATTTCATCTTGTTAGTGAATATATTCGGATTAGTGAAACTAGTAGACTTAGATATGATATGATATTATAGAAAAAAAGGAAGAAAAAAAAAGAGAGGAGAACTACTGGCAGGAATTGATGAGCAGTGGTTGAGTGCAGGCCGTCCATAAAGCGGGTAAATCAATTGCTTTAGGCCCCATATTTATGGGGGTCCATTTTTTGGTTATACCTAAATTCTATACATATATAAAATAAAATATTTTTTTTTATAAAAACTATAAAACAATATGTGGGAAGTTTGAAGAACACAAATTTGAGATAATGGACCACAACTTTCTGAGCACAATTTTGTCTAGCAAAGTGAAAACAACGTGTGAACTAATAGCACTATGCCGCTATATTATATTTTTATACTTTGTTCTTCAATTAATCAATTCATGACTCCATTTTTCAATAGCCAAAGATCAAGCATTATTATGGAGCTTCAGACTTCAGAGTTCAGTGTATTGATTCAAGAAATAGTGGGGTGTTTTTGTTTGTTCTATTTTCATAATTCAAGTCTTACGACAAGCATACTCGAGCAGAAATTTTAATTTGATATCAAGCTATCCGTTCTTGAACCAGGTTCTATCATTCTATCTTTTTATTATTTTTTCATCTAAAATTTAATATTTTGCTATTTATTCTATCTTTTAGATTATTTATTAGAAGATAAGTATGTCAAATAGAAAGTGTGAATCTTGTTATAAAAATAGAAGATAAAATCTTACCTAAGATCAACAATGTCTCAAGAAAGATTAAATGAATTAACTATATTGTCAATTGAGAAAGACTTATTAGGAGATATTGATTATAAGAAAATTATTAGTAACTTTGCATCTAAAAAAGTTAGAAAAATTGACTTCAAATAATAAAAAAAAATTAAAATATTAAGGCCACTCATTAAAGTTTGACTTTAGATTTCAAAATAGGTCGCCGCCCCTGGTTGAGTGGTCCATAATTTTTGGTTGTCACTTGTGCCTTTGCTTCCGAATAATGCATCCTTTTCAATGGGGACAAACAGGGCCAGTTTAAATGGGACAATCACCTAATCAACTTCCTTGCGCACATGACAAACCAACAATGTGTTTCAAAGTCCATCTCATATTACTACTGCGACGTGATTGGTAGATTTCGAGCAAATTAAAGAACACCAGAGAACCTGCATTAAACCCTTGAGTATGCCAATTTGCTTCTGTCTAGTTCTACACATACTTGTCTTTTTATTATATGAGCTTAATAATGTTTCTATACCCTAATAATAGGTAATTGGTTGTAAAGATAGGATGTAATAACCTGAAAAATAATAGCTAAATAAACTGTTATAACAAGTTAAATTGTAATAATAGTATAAAAATTCTTTATATTATTAGCATATATAACTTAAACCCTACAAAAGATATGTTAAAAAAGAGAAGCATGAGGAGATAGGTGTAGAGTTTTTTTCAAAAAAATATAAAGAGTACGAGCGGGGGCAACAACGTCCTACTAGTATTACGGACGGTAAAAACCTAGATGTATTTGGTGTTATCAAACCAATAAATGAAAAAAAAAAAAAAAAATTTATTGATATATAATTTTTAACTATTTGATTTGGTGTAAATACCAAATGCACCTAAATTATGTCCATTAGAGATGGTGGCAGAACAAATCTTTGTGAAAGAATCTTTTTTCTTCTTTTTCTTTTTTGAACAAGATATGCTTCAAGTGCAATTGCTGCTTTGTTCTTTTTAATTCACACTAGTATACGTATGCGCGGTCAATTTCAAGATTCAGCTTATTTTGTAAAGCTTATATGAGAGAATGCTAGCATATTTGGCACACTGACATGTTATAATAATTAATACTTATAAAAGACAAACCAATATAAAAACCTAGTTCATTGTCTAAATTTGTTAACCATAATTTTTAGCATTATTTAATTAGTTACTATATTTATTTTACAAATTAATCAAAATCATAAATATACTCAAACAATCCCTATCATCCTCTTTTATGTTTACTATAATATTTTTAGTTAATTTTGTATTTAGTGTTTTATCTATAATTCAAATAATAATTTTGAACTACTTTTATTTTATTTTCAATATGATATATTAAATTGTAGTTTTAACTATTGATATTATCTACATATGAATTTAAATTATAGTTATTTTTATTCAATATCTATTAAGATTTCAGTTAGACGGTCTTACCTGTACAATATATTTTTCTGAATCATAATTCAAAGACTTTCTCATATCAAATTCGAGGGCAAGTGCACAGATAGCCATTCTCAGGAAGTTGTTTAGTGATTAGTCAGTACTTATTTTGTCCTGTAATTTTAAACTAAAAAACTTAACTTCAGGACAACTTAGGACATTTTTGTCTTGAAGAATTGAATTGCAAAACTGAAATTTAGGACGCACTGATTAATTTCTAAATAGCAGCCCTTCAGAGTGGCTGTCTGGTGTCATTTCTATCAAATATCAAATATGCTTATCCTTGTTCCATATTTTTTATTGTGATTGCATGTTTAATTACTTTATCATATGATTGTTTATTAGTTTTTCACTTATCTCCTTGCCTATCACTCCTTTTTAAATATAATATAAATAAATATTTTTACTTATTAAATCTAAATGATTTTAATACTCTTATTTTATTACTCAAAATTGCTTCATTATTAAAATTTATAAAATAAATTTTATTTCAACCGCTATAAATAATGTAAATCAACAGAGATTTCAACCGCTATACTCTTATTCTTTACTTGATTGCTTGAACTTTTCGTAACTTATAAACAAAGATTTGATTTACTATTATTTCATAAATTAGACGGATATTTTAAAACATTATATTAAAATTATATACAAAATAAAGTTTTCCTTCTAACTTTCCAATAATATGGATGATCTTATAAAATAGTTGATATATTATTTTTTATTTTAGCCTCTTAACGCATTTTTATACTCAAGACACATCTTTATTCAATGGCCTGATTAAAATCATCTTGAGATTCCTAAAATTGAAAAATCAAATGGGTTAATAGAAAACATTAACATAGAAAAGAAATTTTGCTCACGCATTTTATTTGTGCCAACATCATTACAATCTATTCCACAACAGGGATTAGTCTCCTTAATTTGCTGAGCCTTAACAACAGATAGAGTTTCAATGGGCTGGAGAAATCTTTTGGTACAACAAAGGATAGAATAAAGAGCATAGTTCCTTAATTCCTTTCTAGTGTCTCATCCGGAAAATAGCCATTAATAATCGATGTGCCATCTTCTTACGAAATTTCGAATACAAAAAGAATTTAAAATTAAATTGATGAAGAGTAAAATTAAAGAGCTTATTTCCTCTAGTTATTTGTTAGCATATTCAAAATATAAAATGGGAAAATGCCTATGATGACAGTCATCAACAAATTAAGTGATACCATAATGATGTACTATTTGTACATTGTTTACCCGATAAAAGGATGACAATTGAATTTATACACGGTTCTAAGGATATATAATATAATTCAGTACAAATTGAGAAAATATATAAATGAATATCGAAATAGACTATAAAAGAAATGAACGCAAACCGAATGAATAAATTAGCCTAAGCCTTTAAGTTTTATCACCCTCAAACTGAATAGAGAGTAACTGATAGTAAAACAATATGACTAAATATCAAAATCAGAAAAAGATAGTATATTGCCTTATGTTCTATGAATCTGAATCAATATGCCTTACAAATAATCAGACCCCCCTTTATATAGTGGGGAGGTCTTATTCTTAATATAATTTTTAAACACAGGAAGGAATCCCATGATAGATTAATTAATTGACCTCTCATTGATATGCGCCGTGATTTCCGCCGAGATTCTCGCCCAATTGCGGATATTCCGACTTTTTATTTTTTGGCTCGATAAGCTTTCCTTGATCGAGGCCTCAATCGGTCTCTATTT